TGCTTATATAAACTGAAAATAATTGTAACAACGACTGACCGACTATTATGTGAATGGTATTACAAAGTCACGATCTATGCATAATAATATTATATAAAATACACATAGATAATATATTCTTAAATATTTCTCCGTGCCTCTGTTTATGAAATATTGCTGTTATCAAGAACAAAAGATAGTGAAAAGTACTAAATTTAAAAAAGTGAAGTGTAAAAAATTTGGATGGACGATTGATCAGTTTGTCGGTGACGTTTAAAATTATTTTCTCTTCAAAGTTAATTTACCAACAAGTAACAACTATTACAATATAATTATATTACGTACAATTTTATTCCATACTGAACGCGTATATGTGTTAACACATTTAACTCACGAATCTGCATCCTCTGTCAATGAAAGTAATACATTAACGCAGATACGCCTTCACACCCACAAATACAAACGCAATCTTCTTGACAGTAACTTTTAGTATTCTAAAAATGTTGCCCTATATGCCGACCATGATATATATTATATTATACCATCTATGATTTCTTAGTTTTGGGAAAATATCAAATATAATTTTCTTTTTTTTTATGAAAAATGTATTTAAAACTTTACATAGTTAATTTACATAAAAAAAATTCAAAAAAAATAAACAATTTTGAGCTAAAAATGGTTATAGCCATTATAAATTTGAACGAACGTTTTACGGGTCCGGATGGTGATAAATGATAACTCTATAATAACCACAGTTCATAGTTATCATAATATACTCTTTTCAAATATTATATCCAGCTATGATGCAATACTTAAAGCAAACAATTTTAGATATTTATACTTGCGTATTTGATTTACTGATTGTATGGACACTGTGCTTTTATAAACACAATTATTATTAAATTGATGTATGTATAGCAACTAGTGGGGTACTACAAAAATGTATTATTAATTCCGTTTGTATATGCACAATTTAGCTAGTACTTATAAATAAATATTTAGTTTTGTCCAATCATTATATTTTTAATATTTTAGATGTAACTTTTCAAGGTTTTAATAGAGAATTCAAATTACAGCCCTAATATTACTAATCGTCTACTGCTAATAGATACTAATTATAAAAATATATATCTTTTTATACCAAACTATTTGTGTAAAATACGAATGAAAAACGTTATGTTAATAAAAAAAATATAGTCTAGAAAAATAATTCTTAAATGTATATTATATTTGATAATCAAATAATACATTATCTATTTTAACAATTAACAATTTAATTTGGCAATATGCTATTATATTAATTATAATTTTATTTTATTTTGATATTTCGTCTTAATATTAATGCTTTCATGGAATAGTTAATATTAAATAACTAATAAGTGTGAGAACATTCATATTTTGTACTAGTAATTTTTTGTTTGTAATAATTATGTATTCAAAACTTATTTACTTGTCCAATTACCTACAATAATTTCTACTAGGATATATATATATAAATAATATAGATCCGGTAATGCGTTATTGGAAAATAATTTCTGACAGAAGAATTTAATTTTTACAACTTCATAATTCATATAATAATCACGAGAACAATAATAAAAATCTGTGCTTATAAAATGTAATATGTGAAGTTTTTGGATAATATTTTGATACTATTTTATTTGTAAAAAACTCAAGGATTTGTTATTATTTTTATGTGCCATTATTGAAGTCAATTATCATGTTAGAAGGCCTAATAATATGTGTACTATTATCGAATGGTAATAAACTAAATGGCATAACATCAATGGTTTATTTTAGCACGTGAGTATGGTAATTCATGTTTATTCACCACGGTGTATAATGTATACTCGTATTCTAAATAGTATATTATAATCGACTGCTGCGACATGATAAAAAAAGAAATATGATTCGTTGAGGTAGAGTATCATTTGTAATAAAATTATAAATAACTATATAAAATATGTGTACATTTAATCATCAAAAAGCAATGTACCCATACTTATTCGGAAATATAATTAAAAATATATGGTTATTGGTATACTCGCAGATAAATTATAAATATAGGGATTACCGCCACGAGCGTAAATAAAAAATAAAAAATCGATTGGCAATGAAAAATATATATAGTATAAGACCCAGGTACACTGAAATTTTTACTCTTTATTTCCTAATTGATAAATATTTTCAAAAATTGGAAAATGGTACACTTTTACAAAAGTAAATAACATACCAATCTTAACCTACTTATTTTTACGTAACAATTGACTAATTTTCTTTATGGAATAATAAGTAATGATCCTTATAGATGGGGCTGCAAAAAAAAACCTCCTTCATTGAAAATTGATTATTTAGCCATTTACACAAAGATCCTACCCGATACCTGTAAGAAAAGACAATAAGAAATAGGAATTGTATCAAGTCATTTACACCTTTTAAATTTTACTAGGAAACAAGGATTTATTTTATTTATTAAGGTTACGATGAACAAATATGTTATGTCTTAGAAGTTTTTAGATTTTTACTTTAATTTTTGTAAAGGTTACAGTCGTTACCGATCAACAAATCGGTGCAGTTAAATATTTGCTTGGTTAATATTGTTTGAGAACTTTATTTTGGTATGAAGCGTATTTTGTATAAATCGTATAATATTATATTGTATAAGCGTTACAGCCATGTCGAAGGTCGTAACAATGGTCGAAAAAAATAACCCATCTCACGAGGGGGTCTTATTGGACTCTCGTTAACCATCATATCTATTCATTCAAAAATGTAATGCACATAAATATGTATATCGGGTTTTTAAAACGTCTCACGATATTTTCAGACCTCACACGGGGAACTGCAGTGTAGGCTTAGTTTATTATAAAAATACAGAGATAAAGGGAGAGACAATAATAAATATCTTATTATAAAAACGAATATAACTCCCAAAACACCATTATTCGAACGGGTCGACTAAAATACTTAGAAGATCGTATACCAGGTTCTCACGCCTACGCATATATACATTATACATACATATATTATATACATATAATGGTCCAGGTCTATCGTGTTTTTTATTTCTTATTTACTTGTGATATGAAAATGGAAAGACACAGTAGGCCATCTTTTATTAAGTTTAGCACTATATATTCATATCTCGGTCTATATTGACATAATATACTGTATTACAATTTACAATACAATATGCAGAGTAGGTATATCCACCATAAATACGATGTATATACGATGGATGCAATCGTTTTTTTGGTTTTAATTATGTTGTACTGACTGTTTTGAGTTCAAACAAATAGAGCCAATCTCAAAATTAAATAATAATATTCGTTGTATCGACACAACTACAGTCATCACAGGTCTCTGCTTTTAAATTTTAAGTTTACATACATTCAGCTGTTTATGAACGAGACTTAAGCGCGCAGTGACGTCGCCAATAAAGGTGAGCATTCAAATATTCAACCAATATTGACGTGACGTCAACACGATACACCTTTCCCCGTAAAATGAAAAATACACAAAGAGTGGTGATTTTTCCTTACGCAAATATCCAAATCTTGTATGGTGATAAGATTTCGATGGTAAATTTTTCACAATTATTGGCTCAGACTATAAATGAGTATATAAGTACCTATATGTAAAAACATACCCATACCTACATAACTATACGTCTTGTAACACAATACCACGGTTGACAAGTACAGGAGGAAGGGATTTGGATAGCTACTACTTACTAGACATAGTCATATTTTTGAAAATTCGTTGTCAAAACTTATGCGATATCCAAGGTATTTGGAAACGTCACTACCAATCTGATGCGCGTTCTAATGAAGACGGCGGACGGGATGTCATCGCATGTCGTCGCTCTACGACCCACCACGCGCAACGCAGCAAATTTGAGTTCGGCAGAATCGGAGGGTAAAATGTTACGAAATGCAGCTCACAACTAGCTTTAAAAATAAAATATCAATAAAAGGTCTGTAAGGTTCCGTTCCAGGCAATATTCTTGCATTTGGGCTCGATTATAATCGGCCCGTTTGGTCATTTCGTTCGAATGACGCGTTATAAAGCTGACAACGCGAAATCGGTCGAGTGTCCAACTCAAATTCGTCGTGTTGCGCGTGGGCCGGAAAAAACCAACGGCGCGTTGACGTTCTCTTAGGCGCACGTCAACAAATAACACTCGCGCTGTTATGATTGCCCGGGGAAACACGCGGCATTATTACATTTCGATTGCGGCAATAACAAACTACTCCGTGCAGGTTTCGTCACCCGTGGAAGGCGACAGCTGAGGAATTCCCATTGTTATACACGGCAATAATAATAATAATAATAATAATAATAATAATATTCATACAATAATGACTGTGCGGCTATATCACAACGAACGGGACGGTGTTTTCAGTCGCTGTCGGGCGCTGTTTGGACACGAATGGGTGAACGTTGCGCACAATAGTTTAGCGGCGTTGTCGTAAACCGTTTACGACCGTGAGAACAGTCTGGGGTTTTCCCGGGAGTCGGACGACTTAATATTATTATGATAATAATTATTAATATACGCCACGATTTAGGTAATTCATAATTAATAATATTACGCTTGCATTGTATTGTTGTTGTCGTCGACGTCGTCGTGTGTAGCGGTGCCGAAGTACCGAGAGGAAGCGCGTTGGCGGCCGGGGCGATGAGTCATCCGGCCCGTTTTTGCGGGTTCGAAATTCCCCTCGGAAAAACGAGTGAAAAAACCCGCACACGACGAGAACCGTACACGGCAAGAAGAGGCGAACAGCGATCACCATGTGGCCCGCACCGTCCCGCCCGCCCGGCGGTCCGCCGGATGCTGCCGTCTCCACCGCGCGCCACACCACACCGACGTCGTGGGGGGGGGAGGAGGAGGCAATCGCGTACACAATATTACACGTTTGACCGCCACGGGCGGCGGTGGCGGTAGAGCAGCTGACCCGGCCGTTACGGCGGTGGCGGCGGCGGCGTTCACTGTCGCTACGACTACGTTATTTTACGAATTGCTGAGGTTCAGTAATGCCAGTGCGTTGGACCGAGCCGGCGCCGCTCGCATTTTAGCGCAAGCAGTACACACGGCGTTAACGCGGACCGAGTTTTTCGTTGTCGGTGTCTTGCCGCACACAGCAACAATTTTCGATTTTCGTTTTTCCTTCCGTCACCGGAGGGACGACTGATAAAAATACAACGCGCGAAACGTCGTCGCGGCGGTGGTTTTATAACTCGCTTCCTTCCCGTCCGGAGCACTTCATCTCGTTGTATTTTTTCCACGCGTTTTCCTCCTCGAGGGAACAGTCCACGTGCGAATTATAGACACAGCTGCTGTGTTGTCTCCCGGAACGTATTGTTTTTTTTAACATTTTTTTTTTCGCTCCCCGCAATACATTTTCTCACATTCCCGTTTTCCGAAGAAAATGCTCATGTCTGGCGACAGTCGTCGTCGTTGACGCAACCGATCGCGGTTGTACGTCCGCGATGAGCTATAGTCGAGTCGAAGCGACACACGACGACCGGACCGGAGCCGACCCAACGGATCTTTACGCTGGTGACTGGTGAGCAGACCAATAAAATAATATATTAGTATTATTATCGCATATTGATTTTACACGCTATGCATTTCCGTTCGTTTGTAATATTGCTCTTGTTTTAATGGTAAATAATTTTATTTTTAAACCGTCACAATATCAAATCGCATCTAGTGAAAGTGTTATTGGGTCACGACGTATACTCCCGCAGACGTGTGTGTGTTTGTTTGTATGTGTGTGTATATTTCGCGATTTCATAATGTTTAAAAAATAATATTTTTTTAAATTCTACAATTCTACTTTTTAAGAAACGCCATCTCATTAAATTCTACAGTTTTGAAAAGACCACGTGCGCGTTCGGTAAGAGGTAGCAGCTGTGTACGATATATCATGTATTATTATGTGATCGTATTGTGATACAACATAGATAATATATACGTGCTAATATCGGCCATGAGCCGAAGTCGCTTTACTGTATAACGCGTTATCTCAATCGATAATATTTGTAATATTATTGTTTAAGAAATGGCTGGAAAAATAAAACAAATTTAATATACGGTTTGCGTGTATCAGGTATATTTAGTTATAGTAGGGTATTATATCTAATGCTGCGATCAATTAATTGTACGGTGTTGTAATCGTGGGTTCGACACTAAAGTCGTTGGCCGGAAAAAGTGTTCGATTTTTAAACGCGAAAACACTTAGGTAAGCCAATTTCCCGCCAGACGCGGTGGCGGCGTGACTATTATTACAGTGATTATAAAACACATATACATAGATTTATTATTATACTGACCTACGCAATTATTACCGCGAACGCGCTTAATAACTGCACATTACGCCTACTCGCGTCCACTTAATTTGTTATTTATAATAGGTATCGACCGATGATTTTTAAATTTCTTTAACAGATTGCAAATGAAATCGCTAACTGGACGGTGATGGATTCAGGTTTTCCGACGGTGACTTAATCGTTTAAGATTTAGCCGTCACTGTTGAATGAATTCTCGTGATAGTCGTTTATTTGAACAATAATTTCGAATGGTGGTGTGATGCACGTTTCATACTTCGTTCCTGTTTATTTATATATGAAGAACAATGAACGGATGTCGACAAAAACATTAAATAGGTGCCTAAACGAAATCGTGAAAATCGACTATACCGGAAAAACCCGCGTAACTGAAATGTAAATAAATGACAGTTTAACAAGTTATAATTTTTTTTTCTTAACGATTTGTAACGTATTTTATTTATGATGTATTCTGTATAATATTATAATGATAATTAATTCGAACTATATACACATTAACGTGTTAATAATTAAAATTAAAACCGATTTAAGTATTAACTCTGATATTCTTGTTGCACTTATACATTAATTGTATGATATTATGATTTATAATATTATGAGTTTATGTATTTAAGTGTAATATAATATAATATAGGTGTCCACGAAAGGGTCTCTTTGGATTTTCATTATTTTGGTTAAAACTGGATCATTCACATCAACTCAAAAAGTACCGTGGTTTTATTACACCTATCGTTAATAATTTAAAATACAATTTTATCCGTCAAGACGCGTACCTTATTACATTAACAATTGATATTATTAATAATATTACTTCGATATCGATCGTAATAAAATTTTATCGGCCAACTTACTGCTTGTCAATGACGTAAAAGAGTGCGAAAAGTGCCGAATACGATTAGAATTGTGGCAATGATCGCAATGGCGTTTTCATTTATTGGTGTAATATAATTGGTGTTGATTTGTTCGTTTTTTTCATTTTGACGTCATGCAATTTTATTGCTTCACTCAACTCGGTGGTGTGAAAGGAAAAATTTAGTCATTCGCGTAATGGTAACAAAATTGGCGTATTTGCAGCTACCTTCCAACAGTTTTAAAAATTTAACCATATTTATGTGTGAACGTTGTAGGATTTTTATTAATTTTTTCATTCATCATGGGCATTCACAGTGATTTGGTATCTCGTAGTCGCTGACGATAGTATAGTATTATATAGATAGTGGCCACCAGTCTCCTTGGCACCGAAACCGAATCAACGTTCTTGACAATTTAACCGCCAGTGTACAAAATCCTCTATAGGTATGTAGTGTATAGGCGTGTACCTATGTGTTTAATATTAATAATCGCGTAATCGTGTGTTAATGTATGACGGCAGTGGCTCACATTCAAACGTATGTATTTTTCTGATTATTATTATTATTATTATTATTATTATTATTATTACATTTTACTGGAAGGTGAACATTGTGTTTATTATTATTATTATTATTATTTTTTTTTTAAAAACCTGTCTCCGTCGTTGCCGTCGCAGTTTTGTATTGTTTATGTTAACCGAGCACGTTTTTTTTTCATTCCTCTCTTTTCGCGCAAAACGGGAACAATGACCAATAGCCAAGAACCGCCGCCGACACAATAATAGAATACAAGTACTGCCTTCGTACGTTGTATCGGATTAAAATCGTTTTTGCAGCAATGATCGACGACGAAAAATCACCTCATCGACGGAAATCATTATTGTCATCTATTATCATTATAAATAACCGTCAGAGATTTTCTTCCATACACCAATTTTTACTCTCCGAGATAGAAGTTTTGTTTGACTAAATCCTTGAAAATTCGGAGGCAACAAACATTTTTTTAAATGTTTTATCGTGTGCTATGTGTTTATTATATAGATATTTGATGCACGACTGAAAATGCTGCATATTTTAATCTGATTTTTATAGTTTCTTGATGGCTGTATCCTCTGGTTCGCATCACAGCGAGTGCCATGTAAAGTGAAATCCGGCCAATTAGGTACGCCATGAATGACAAATTAGATAAATTTGCACATAAGTACACCATTTCAATAATCGATTTTGCGGAATGGGTATTTCTATGTTATGGGAGTGTGGGACTGAAATGTTGCGTAAACTATATGTGCGTATATATTATATTAGGTCTGATACTCTGATGTATAAAATATAAATATAATAAAGGTAGCTGGTAAATGTACGCACTATGTGGTTTTGTTGTCCCAAAGTAATTATAATTCGCGGTTTTTGCACGGTTTTTCCTTAAAGAAACATGCGATATTGTTAAAAAACACTGTATTATATAACCATTTCATATTAATCTCCTACACAATTACTAAAACAAAAAAAACTGGTGCATTGTAATATACATGGATGGTGTATATGCGACAAATTGGCAATGTTCATAAAATTTTATAAAATCTATTATATGTAGATACTATGCATGCATAATTTGTTTTAAGCTATGTTACATATTATATATTATGATAGGTTAATTGTACCGATTTATTTGGTGTTAAAGATGACGGTTGAAATCGTATACGAAATATTCATCGATAAGTCTAGAATTTATGACCACAAGTTGTTTTGTTATTTACCTATCACTTGATTTGAGTTTCCAATGTACACGGACACTTAACCGGTTTTAGTTTAAGATTTGCTATCGGTTATCGCATCATTAGTTGAGAGAAATAGCGAGATGGCTACTATTATCCGTTGACGTCGTGAAAGTTCTGAGCTCTATGATCAACTACAAGAGTTTTATGTTTTTCTGTTTCTTAACAACGCATATTTATGTAATTCATGTCTTAGCTAAACACGAGATTTAGCAATATTGTCAACGTGAAATTTTTAAATAAGTCAAGGTTGTGGTTAATATAAAAAAAATAAAAATAAATTATTTAGTGTAAACAATGAGATATTTAAATAATATTAAAATAACGTCAAAAAAAGAATCATAAACGATCTACAAAAACGATAAAGATTGTTATTTATTTCTCCGTCGTTTATCTCAAAAGTTCCTGGATTACAAACTGTCCTTGGTCTACTCTTAATGCTTGACTGAATGTCTAATATTCATCTCAAGGATAAGTAATACGTCCGCGTGAAATCTATTCAACCCATCAAACCCTTCGTAACAAGCATTTGAGATACAGATGCACAAAAAGAATTAAGATCGGGTGAAGGAATATTAGAAGAAATTTTCCGATTGCATTTCTCGGTGCATACCATTATCTAAATATATTATATCTTATTACGCAAACGTAATTGGGGTTGTTCAGTTTCATTGGAAATTTATGTTAATCCTCAAAAAGGTCCACTGAATATTGTTATATGTAAATAAAAATAAGTGACTAATGGAGTGAACGATTTGTATGCCAACTGCTGGGATAGTCATTCAGTAGGTATACAGTATTAGGTATAACCAGGTGTATAATCATTAATCTGTATGGTTATACTTTAACACATGATGTAGGCTAAAACTGGCACTAATACCACTTATTATGCAAGGGAAGATATCGTTTACCACATCGTAAATATGAACATTCAATTTTTTTATTTTTAAATATCATTTGTGTAAATCGTATCGCTAAACCCATGTGTGGGATTCAATAGTGGGATGCAAATGGGCACCTTTGCCGCCAGTCATCCTTGAACTTCACTTGTATCAAAACACACACGCACAGACAGCATTACTGTTTTAATGTATTTTAATATATCAATTAACTATTTATATACATACTTACAATCGGTAATCGCATTTTTTACGCGTGCACACAGCACGCAATCAAGGTGATCTATGCACGGCATTGATGATCAGCAATCATTGTTGGTATCATCAATTTGTGTATTTTGTTTTGATTTATATTGTAAACATTTTTCTAAATTGTATTATTTTATATTTAATTATTAATAAACATACATTAATTAAGTATACATGCATATTTTTAATGCTGTTAATTATAAACGTGTGTAAATCACGCCAAATGTTCGTGCCGTGTTTTAATAATGATCTTTGGACGAGCTAGAGTCGCTACTTTTAGCTGCCGACCATTTAAATTGTCGAGAGTACCGGAAACGATAGTGTAGGATATTCGGTATTCACATGCGTTTTGTAGCTAATTGATTTAAGTTAACGAACGATTAAGACTCAACTATGCTATAAATACCTATTAGTATAATTAATTAATTTATAAATTTGTCTA